CAATTGGGCTGGAGCCTCTGCACAGAAAGTCCGGTTCCCTGGATACCAACTTCCCCATGTCACCCCCGGCAACACGTGCTGGCAATGCTCTGATGGTCCTCCGACCTGAACCCAAACCCCTGTCCAGAGAGAGGTGGGCACACAGACACATGAAAACACACTTAAATAGTCTGTACGCAACAGGTGGATTTAGCCACCTGCTGTTACGAGCTTAACATTTGTATGTTTGAGAGAGTGGTTTGGATTGGATGTTTGGATGAGAGGTGGAGTAATAAATTATCAGTCAATAAAGGTAAGCCTGGTTCTCAAGCTGAATCCATAGTTTGTATAGACACAGACATCAAAAACTCTGCAGAAGACACCAATACCACCAACTTGATTGAGAGAGGGATCAAGTAACAGGCGGATGCTCAAACTCTTTGAGCGCCTGTCACTTAAAGCAGCCACATGGCCAAAATTCACAACCTCTGCAGTTTTCATAAAAAGGAATATTGGCTCTAAAGACAAAAACCTTTTTTTTTTTTTTTTGCACCAGAATACGTTAAATTCTGCTGTGTATCCAGGCATTTTAACATGTGGATTATTTGGTTTTAATGCCAGCCTTCAAGGAGTGTTTGGCACTTCCATGTTGGCTTTATTTTCCAGCCCCGGAGGTTGCTGCTTGATAAACACAGATAAACAAACACGCTTGCAGGCCAAGGTGACGCTTTTATGAACTTGGCTCAAGCACAAGTTTATTGTCACTGTGCAGAACAAGGCTGCAGGCGATGCAATATTCCTCAAACAAATCCGTTATATTGTTTCTCTCCAGAGAGATTAAAAAGTTAACCAAGGTAATATTTGGATATGTGCGAGAGCAGAACACTGACAATATCGCAAATACTGCGAGTAAATGAACACTCTGACCAGCTGGAAATGACAGCAAATATTTTCTGACAAGATAGAAAATCTTGTGAGAGTGTGGGATAATAAACCATAAGCAGACAGTGGGTGAAAACAAAGCTGGGAGCCTCTCCAGAGGTGCCTTCATGACCAGTTGGTGCTCTTGAGGTGGTAGTTTTTTGTTATATATGCTGCCATCTATGTTAGTTGTTCTACACTTACTGCGATATGTGAGCTTAAGTACCCGAGCTTAAGTGTTGAATAAGAACACATCGCAATACTATGGTGAAACACAGACAGTGTTAGGAGTGTTACCTGTGAAATAGAAGAGGTTACAAAACACTGGTTACCTTCTTAGAAATGCAATAAGCGATGTAATTTAGCTATGTTATTTACAACACTAAAGTTATGTAACTAAACTTTTGATTACTTTACTAAGCAAAGGTTTTAAGCAATAAAACGGTGTCCTCTACAGACTGTAAATGTTTCCTTAGGTTTGACATCAAGCATTTTAGTGCTCAAAGCATAAATAAATGAGCTCTACTCTCTATAGCAATGCTGATTTCAATAGGAAAGTATTGAATTTCCAGCACTGAAAGATGCTCTCGTCTGACCGGATAGCCACTTCTCCTGGCATGGTCGACTGTTTTCAGGCATGGCAGACTCAGATTGCTTACAGTAATGTGCATTGATTTGACTGGCAGGCAAGAGGTGTATAAGAGAGCCAATCAAAAACAATCTGAGCACTACCAAATGAATAAAGCCTGTGTACACATAGACAGCTCCCTGTAAGCCATCCTACTCATGAAAACATTCATTCTTTTTCTTTCCCATGAACACACACTAACACACACACACACACACACTTTGTTCCTCCTTAGAAAAAACCTGTAAATGCTGGAACGCACTTAAAGACTCCTCAGCTGGACGTTGAGGGGGAAAAATGCATTTAGCATGAAATTATCACTGTCAGCAGGAGGCTGGTGTAATGGGAATGCTGGTTATCACAGAATGATGCTTATTCTGTTTGTGCGAGGAAAAAAGCCGAGAAGGAAAACAAATCTCGTCCCCTGTGTTTGAGAGCATTACACCAAAACATCAGCGCTATGGTTATCACCACAACTTATCACGCACTTACAAAAACATCATTCACTGGGGAAGATTTAACGGGCCTGTGGAATTAATCTCTGGTTCTCAAAAAAAAAAGAAACGGTTTAATTTATAGGTAAAATTTTTGATTTTTTTTTTTCTTGTAACAAGAAGCGACTCGTCAGTCACTCAAAAGAGCTGCTATTTTGCACCTGTGTGTGAAACTG